TTAGTATTACCTAATAATAATTTACCACCAAAACGTGAACAAAAAAACCTTCATCTACACTATCACATATAAAGCATGACAAAAAATCACCAACAATTGAAAATGGTAGTATTTTCTCTAAATATTTATCGAACTAAATCACATGGCACTATTTTAGAAGCATAAAAAAAAAAAATCTGCTTTCGAACACGAGAAGATCACTATTCTATCACTTAATAACGTTAAATAGGATATTATTTTCTGAGTTACCATGTAAACGGAAGTTACCATAAGTTAATATCTTTAATATTTAGACAAAAAAAGAGAATACGAAAAAATAATGTAGTCGAACTTAGAGCCTATCGGATCTAAACAATACTCGTAATTTCAATGAAATTTTCTAAAACATGATCTCAATGGAAGTATTAAAGTATATAGGATAGAAATTTGCACTTCCATAGACCATCATAGACGAGATATTGACAGACACTTTAGCCTCGCATCGCAGACTGCGGCATACGTTACTGATATACAATCAAAGATCGTAAATCAATAACGTCTTGTTAATATATAGGAATTACTTCCGTATTACATTTCTGGAGAAGGACGATGAAGAAATATGTCCGAAAATAGATAGAATAAAATAATCTTTCTGTGATTAGCAACAGCAGCTACATCGTGTTTCACATTTTAATCCTACAGGAGTTACGCTGACAGCTTTTTAACACATTTCGCAGACAATCTTAGTTGATGATCTTATAATTATTAAGTGATAATTGACTGTTACTTTTCGAGTATGACTCGTTGAATTCGGTCTTGATTGAAGGAGGGGCGAACGATGGAGATTTCAGGCTTGAAGTTTACTATTTTCCCCCTAGATCCAGGTGCGAAACCACCTCACCGAACTCTACACGAACAAAGAAGAATTTGATTTCAAATTTTTCTCGTACTTTCGTCTATTTAACATATAAGAACATGTAGTTGAAAAATCTTGTCCTGTATAAATACGAAAGCTATTCACAACAGATAACATCACTATTAACAAAATGAATATTATAACTGATAGTGAATCAAAAGATAGTATGATTATAGTTGATAGCACTATTATATCAAAATCTAACTTTATATATCTAGAAGTTTCTGCACATAGTGCAAAATCTGTTTACCCAGATCACATTTTTCGGATCTTTGATTGTTATTGCTGTTGTCTTTTTTTTTATCTTTTGTTTTCTGTTAACAAAATATATCGTAATAAAAATCAAAAATGAATTTTCTAATTTAATTTTCAAGTTAATTTCAATTTGATATAAACTTTTTATGCAAGAAAAGGATGAATATGTATTTCTTTTTTAGTTTTTACTATTCGAAATGAAAATTCTTCTCTAAATATTCAATGAAAATTTTAATTTTAGAACATTTACCAACAATAGTAAAACCTCAAGTTCGTCGTTTATCAACACCAAACAGTACTGATGAAGAAAAAAGTGAATTAGACGATGAAACTATTAGTGATTTTATACGTCTAAAACCTCCATCAGCACCCACAAAAGCTATTCAACGACATGAACAACATTTATCTCAAACATCAATTAATAAACGCTCACTTACTCCTATTTCACCACCATTTCAATCAAAATTTAATTCACTAGAAACTAATGGAAGTACAACAAAATCAAATCTATTTAAACATCCTGAACCACTACCATTAGTAAAACCACCAATAAAGCGTGAACTTGATGATAAATGGACAAATATAATTGATATAGATAAAAAAGAAGAATCAACTAAAGAAGATCTTCTATCAAAATTATTATCTGATGAAGAACAAGAAAATAAATCCATAGCAACTACACAATTGTCACCACCATCTTCTCAACCAGCATCGTTAGTTATGTTTGAACCTACTTCAATATCAACAAATGGCTTTCAGAAAAAACCACCTACACGTATAACAACAACGAATGTGTATGATTTTGATCAAGCTGTTATTAATTTACATGATGGCGTACCTGTCACTGCTCAATCAAGAACAACAACAACAAATAAAACATCTATTAATCCATTTGAATCTTTATTTAATAACAATAATACTAAATCAACAAATCGTATAGCTGGTCGTGATGATACTTTTACTACAACAACTGATAAATCTGATTCACTTGATTTACCTTTTGGTCAATCAACATCTGCAACTAATATTTCAACAGCAATAAAACCAAATTCAAAACAATATCCATCACAAAATGATAAATTACAAAGACCAAAAGTAGTAACAAATGCATCAAAATCAATACCTAATAGGACAGTTGTCGAAGAAATTGAAGAATTTGTTTTGTGAACAGAATCAATTTGTATTATATATGTTTTTTTTTTTTTGTATGAATATAGAAAGACAAAAAAAAATTATAGTGTGCTTTAAGCAAGTTATGATCAGCTTTATTTATTGGAATATTTCAAATAAAAAAGAAATAACTTTTAGTAGAATCCGTCGGGTTGGTTCCGGGACTGACCGAATGGGTCATACTCTAGAAGTAACCGCCAATTATGACTTTATTACTGTAAGATCATCGTCAAGATTGTCTGAATAATGTGTAAACTTTCATCTGCATAATAGTCGCCGTAACATCTAAAATGGCCGAGTATTCAAGAAGTTCAGGATGAGAAGGGACTATTAAAACGGCTTTTACAGAAAAATTTGCTGAAAAAATATACTGAATTTCAATCATCGTGATCCAATGTGTGTGATGGAGAGCAGCAATGTTTCGAAGACGTCTGTGACAGTCTCTGACTAATGTTTGTCACGTATTAAACCGAACTTTCTAAGTCCTTAGCAAGAAAATTAGTGCTGCCATCACTTTTTCTATGGGAAATTCTTCTAATAATAATGATTATTTCTCATTCCAAAGGTACTCAGAACATGGACTGTAGACTTCTAACATCACTAAATGCGGCTAGTTTTTGAATACTTTAGTTGAAGAAAAAATGTCCTGATAAATATAGGAAAGTTTGTTTTTCTCAATAGCAATTTTTGAACAAAAGAAACGAAATTTCCTATCTTTTCTTCCACATTGTTTTAATGAATATATGATCATTACGTGCTTTTTTCATGTTCTAAACATATTACGATATTAAAAACAGAATAAATATGTATTTATTAATCTGTGATGATCAGGGTTGCCAAATCTCCTGATTTTTATGATTTTCGCCTGCTTTCTCCTGATTTATAGTTTTGTTTCTAGTTGACTAAAACAGAAACCAGTGAATTAGATATGATCTCATATCGACTTGCTAGACTTTTTACGTACACCTACCTTACAAAAGCTACTGTAGTTTAAGTGCGCTTTTCTCATTTCTGCTTCAAGTGAATTTCGTGAAACAGCTTTTAGCGACGTGAGATATTATTCGAGCTACCACAGACATACAATGAAACATGATTTTCTATAAGCTGAACTGAAATTTAAAATGGAAACATATCACAATAGCACATAGTTTTATGATTATTTCCTAAGTAAACCTTATCTATTAAAACAATTATGTTGATCAAATAACTAAGTCATTTTTTAAAAGTACGACGAATTGCTCAGTAAAAAGCTCTTATCTTACTTGTTGCTTGATATCTTGATTCATATTCATTAATGAGTTAATTTCATTTTTCAACATTGTGCACTTTAATAAATGATTGTGAAATAACTATTAAACGTGTCCGCTTAAAAAACTCGAGATTCTCTAATATGCTGTAGCGTATACATTCTCTTAAGGCATCTTTCTATTATGATACACATTTTCCATAGGTTTTAATACAAGATATTTTGACAAAGCTCCCTGATCTTCCAGAGTTTTCCCAGGATTTCAAGCTTTTGTTTGATAAAAAATCTCCGAAAAGTAGACTGTTTTAACTGAAAAGTATTGACAATTGATGTAACAATTTTTAACTGTTACTTAAAATTAAGTACATCTTCTATAACGTCCTGCATATAAAATCCTTCATGAGTCTTCTAATATGGAAAAGTCTTCTGTTAAAGAAGGAGTTTAATATAAAATATATCGGATTATCATCTTTTTTTTATTTTAATTCAGATGAAAGGAAATTTTTCACTATAAGCTTGATATACAAAAGAGAAAATTGCTTATGTAAGCAAAAAATTGAATTTTCTTTATGTAAAACTATGCAGACAACTCTTAGACATCAAGTAAAAGTCTCCTGATTTTTTTCCTGATTTAGAAAGAAAAATCTCCTGGTAAACTACTGATTTTTGACAAAAATCTTCTGATTTCTTAAATTTGAATTTGATAAGCCTGGCGATAATGTTTAAATACGCGATCCCAAACAATCTAATTTCAGAAAATGATTCAGGCTGTGTTAGTAGCATAATAAACAAAAATTAATAAAAAGTAACTCAGTTTTCGGAGTGAATATCAGTCTGAAAATAAAAAACTTCATTGACATTAGGATTAC